GTTCATGTTAAAATATATTTTAAAAAATTTACAAAACTAAACAACCTACAGTATTTTTACAGTCTTTATTTTTCAGTTAAAATAAATGTTTATTAAATAAAGTTTAATGTTACAACTAATCGTGGATTAGGGTTGGGCATAATCGTATTGTGTGCAATTAATCGTCAGAAAAACATTAATTATTTTTTTGGCACTTGACAATTAATACGATTAATGCCACCAGTCAGTCCGCTCTGTGCTCCTCTCCACTTCAAATATGACGAACATTTTAAAAAAAGTTCTATAATGTATTTATCTATCAACAGAATTTAAAATTTGATGTATAGTCTGAAGTCTGTAATTTTGACACAGTTTGGAACTGATTTTTATGAACAGCAAATCTTTCCCACTGAATTGGTCATGTGACTAGGACATAAGTGTGTCCAGGKACTCCAGGGAATTAATTGCCAAATCAATCGTTATCAGCTAAATACCACAATTAATCGTGATAATTTTTTTGTCAATATTGCCCAACCCTATCGTGGATCCCTTTAATAGAGGTTGGACCTAACAAGAAATCAGTTGGAAAGTAGCTCCACAGCTAACAGAGTCTGTCATTATATGAACCGCTTGTGCCAGTTTCCTGGTTCAGTTCCTTGACCCAGATTCACAAAAATATTTATCACAAGACAAAAAAAATCCTTCAGGTGTTGGACGATTTTTGTAATATTTCATTAAGCTATGCTTTTTTTGTTTAAATTCGGGCTGACGATTTTCATTAATTCAAATTTGGAAGGCTGACCAGACAGCGTGGTGCAGGTGGAGAAGGTACTTTTGTCTACAATGTCTAGTTGTCAGACGTGTTTTTTATGAAAAGTGACGTCATCAAAAAATCTACCAGACAAATGGTTGAAGAGTAACGAGTGTTGGTTTTGCTGCTTTAAAATGCCTGTGACATGCATATTCTTCAAATACAAAATGTCAAAGAAAACATCTTTTTATTTAAGAAAGTTGAAAGAATACACACAATTTAACCCATTTTGTCTCTTAACTGACAGATTTTCTTTTGAACTTGGCTCAGTCAAAGTGAAACAGGAAGTGACATCAAAGGGGAACTTCTTAACAAAGAAAACTCTGGTCTTTGTTTATTGAAACAATATCATTTGAACTCTGACTCTTCTTCATCTCTCTCTAATAGTGACTCAAAATAATCTAAAGACACGTCAGATTCTTCTCTACAGTCTGGGTTGTTAGCTGTTGTAGCAACGCTCTGTTCGCATGCAGACATTCCCCTTTGACATCACTTCCTGTTACTTCACAGGCAAATATCTCAACAACTGTTCAGCTCAGCGACATAAAATTTATTTTGCAATATTTTATCAATGTCCTCTTWCTAAAAATGCATTCATATGTATTACAAAAATTTGACGTCACAGGCACTTTAAGCTTTTTGCTACCATTTTGCTCGTGTTAGCTTGCCTTTTGCTACTTTAGCTGCTCGTTACAGTTTTGCTACTTTTAAGTTATATTTTGCTCCTCTTTTATTTTTGTTTTACTTTAACCTTCAAGCTACTGTTGTGTTACTTTTTTTTAGCTTCTAGCTAGTGTTTTGCTCCTGTTTGCTAGCCTATTGCTACTTTTAATGTTTCAGTAGCCTTTCGGTACATTTAACTTTTAGCTAGTGTTTTGTTCCATTTAGCTTGCCTTTTGCAACCTCTAGCTTGTTATTGGTTACATTTACATTTTAAACAACCATTTGCTAACATTTTGCARTCAGCTGGTGTTCGTAAGGTTTGAGCTTCTGTAATTATCATCAGACATTCAGCTCTCAGCATTCATTTTGTAATTTTGGCAGAAAATGCAATTTCCCTAGTAGGGATGGGCATAATCATATCCTGTGCGATTAATTGTCAGAAAAACGTTAATCGATTTTTTTTTGGCACTTGACGATTAATGTCAGTCAGTCCGCTCGGTGCTTCAAATATGACGAAAAAAGTTGTGTAATTAATTTATCTATCAACACAATTTTAAATTTGATGTATAGCCAGAAGAAGTCTGCAATTTTGACACAATTTGGAGCAGATTTTTTATGAAGAATCTTTCCCACTAAATTGGTCATGTGACTAAAGGGTGACMAGGGACTCCAGGGGATTAATGGTCAAATTAATCGTTATCGCCTAAATACCACAATTAATCGTGATTAATGTTTTTGGCTATATTGCCCAACCCTWTTCCCTTGTTTATTTTACAGCTGCTGTTACTTCGCAACTTAAGATACAGAAATCAGCTTAAACAACAGATTTCTTAGCTTCTGTTAACTTTCATTTCAACATATTTCACTGCAGAATAAAAACATGATTCTTCAACTCTGATTAGACCAAATCACATGTACAGATTTGSACTGGCTCCTAAAATAAGGATCAATTTGAGTTCTTATTTAATACAAAAAGTGTCTACTTTATTTCGGATGAGGATYGATTCCTTATTTTAAGAGTTAATTGGTGACCCCAGTTTTAACACCGAAAAGGCTGTGTCCACTGCCCTGGAGCAGTGTGGTTATCCTGACTGGGCTTTCCTGAAAGCAGACAGGAAACACAGACAGGATTCCAT